GCCTTTGCACATTCTTGTACACTCTTTTCAGCGCACCTGCACATTTTTGTCATGGTGCAAGGTACGTCTGAGTAAGACCCTCACGACAGATAAGATAACTGTCATAAGGATGCGGGCGATGGTAGCAGCCCTCCCGCTGATCTACAGGACGAAAACCATTCAGGTAAGCAACTTCGTCACAGCAGGAGTCAGGGCKGCTMRCATTAACCATACCACTAAAGCATGCATGACAGAGGGCATGTCGGTTGCAGGCCATGACGACTGTGGGGCGTTCACCATCACAATTAAGTGCACATTCGCTATAGCGCCCGCAGGCACAGATGGGACATACTGCATCTGGATGTAGAGGATGTTCACAATCCGGATACAGGTGGCATCCCTGCCGACAGCGGGCCCGAAAAATTATACGGTTGTAGTGATGTCGACAAAGTCGATGCTTTCCACAACCAAGTGTAACTGTGTCAGTGATCTCACAAAGAAGAAGGTCATAAGGTGTTAGTGCAGCATGTGGGGGAATGCAGACTAAAGCAGGCACGGTGACAGACATGGAGGTAGGCACGGAGACAGACACAGAAACGGGCATGGAGACAGGTGTGGAGGCAGGCACAGAGACAAGTGCAGAGGCGGGGACGGAAGTACACATAGTACCCACAAAGTCAGTAATCGGGAAGGAGACAGACATAGAAACAGGCACAAAGACAGGTACGGAGGCAAGCACAAAGATAGACGTAGAGGCGAGCATGGAAGTACACGAGGTACCCATAGGCTCAATGACCTGGAACAGTTGCAGGTTAGGGTCACAGATGGCAGTAATAGTTTGCACCATAGCACCACCATTCCATAATTCCCAAGAACAAGAGGCACGGACAAAAGCAGTGTAGTGGCCAGGAGCATGTAGACTATAGGCACAAACATGCGAACAGTGGTCCGGGTCGCTACCAGAAGGGGCACGCTGCATATCAAGTCGGCGCCTTATCAAAGCAGTCTCCAAAACAGAGACATTGAATCCCCCATGTCGAGTGTAATTACTATCCTGTGGGGGATCCAGAGTCGGGTTATCGCCATATAACTCACGTTCCTGCGCATCAAGATCAGAGCAATGACCAAGAAATCAGAGTGAGTATATGGTTCCGACGATAGGCTTGTAGGCATATGTTAGTAGCAGCGAGGCCACAGATTCAGTGGAGGCCGGTCAGGCGGATTTTCTACAGAGTCTCCTACAGTCCCCTTGCCAAGTTCATCCTCGGATGGTCCCTCGCCATCATCCCTCCTGTTTTGTGTTTGCCACGTTAAATATAGATATATATTGGCTGTGGCCTTGCCACAGGCGGGGGGGGGGAAAGAAAAAGGAAAAAAGAAGCAAAAAAGCAACACCAAATGGCCGCCTGATTTTGCCAATTACAAACTTCCAACCGGGCAGAACTTGCAAGGGTACCAGTTTTTTTTTGCGGTTCGGACTGCTCTCGGCCCGAACTCGCAGTGTACTGTTATTCCTGCAAATTTGAAAGTCCACACCGCACCTGGGCGTAGTTAATTCATAACCTTTTCTCCCAGCTCGACAACACATACAACTCGTTCAATACCTGCTGACCAATGAGTCCCTTTTCTTTTGAAAAGGCACCGGCCTTCAGGTATCATCATCGCCACAGGCAATTCAGAGAGAGTTTTAATCATCTGAATCCACCAGGAGTTGAGCTTCAGTCTGTTTATCAACAGTGCATGATGCCATGGTTGAATGTTGTGCCATTCAGCCACATGAACTGGGTATGAATCCAAATTTCAAGCGTACCAAACCTCTTCGAGATGAAATCCAGGGGGAGAAGAAGGGAGAACAAGAATGGTAAATCAAAAGGGGTACCTTTCTTCTCCGTAATTGCACGCACACAATGCTTGTTTCCTTCCTCACAGACATGCCCGGATAGAGCCCCTGCCCTTCTTTGCATTTCCACTTTTCCAATCGGCCAGAGAAACAATACCCCCCCCAATCACGCCACAAATCTTCAGATCAAAAACTGTATGTGTGCGTGTTTGAGAGAGAGAGAGAGAGAGTGTGTGTGGGTGCGTGTGTGAGAGAGAGTACATGTGACTATGTGTGTGTGTGTGTGTGTGAGAGAGAGAGAGAGAGAGAGATGGAGCACCTTGTATAGTGCAAACACGTACATGAAAACTGAAAGCGTGTGTGAATAGTCAGAAGATAGACAATTCTGTTGCAGTCTGCGGGGGATAGAAGACCCGTTTGATACCCCCGTATCAATCGGGGCTGATATCCCCCGCAGACTGCAACAGAATTGTCATTCTTCTGACTATTCACACATGCTTTCAGCGTTCATGTACTCGTTCTGTTGCAGCCTGTGGGTGATATCAGCCCCGTTTGATACGGAATATCAAACGGGGATGGGCAGACTGCAACAGGATTGTCAATCTTCTGACTATTTTCACACACGCTTTCAGCGTTCATTACTTGCTTGTAC